AGTAGTAGTAGTAGTAGTGTAGGAGGAGGAGGAGGAGGAGGAGGCGGGGGGGAGGTGGTGGCGGTGGTTGTTGCAGGAGTAGCAGCAGGAGGAGTAGGACTCTGGGTGAAGCTCAAAAGTGTTCGGCATTCCAAGCGGCTTTTGGGAAAAAAGCATCAAATTAGTGTGTGAACACGAGTTTCCCCTTACCAAGGAGAAATACCGCTTGGTCGCATGACTTCTTGCAGCGCTGGTGGGAGTCCGACATACTCGAAGGCCTGGACTGGTTTTTGGGTCTTGTTCTGCTGCTCCGGTTTGCAAGTCCGTTTTTGCCCTCCTTCGCGAGTGTGGGCACTCCGAGGGATGAGGGGCGGCTGCACAGGCAAAGCACTTGTAGCCCTATGTGCGGAGTAATCGGAAGTGAAGGAGTGGCGAACAGTTGTTTGTCTGTGCGCCATTGCTGGCGACTTGCGACAGTCTGCAGCGAAGCCTGTCCGTGCTCCACGTCTTAAACACATGTACGCGTGCAAGATTTTTTTGTGAACACACACTGGGAGTAGGTGCGACTTGATCTTCCCGGCATGATCGACCGCTTCAGCATTCAAGTTCATACGTGTGCATGTCCGCGCGTGCATCCATTCATGTTATCCTTGTCCTTGACGTAGGATTTCTGCAGTGACTAGTCTGTATACTCATGGGTAGAGCATCACGTCCAGTGTCCGCTTGAGCTTTTGTGTCTTGCAGGTCCTGGGAAGGAGCACAACTGCAGCGACCAATCCACTATGCTGCATGCGCTCCTGCACGAGCGCGCCATGAACTTAGACGAGACATGGGACAAGTACGAGGCCCGTTGTGTTAATGTAAACCCAAAGAGATCCAAGCCATTCCAAGCCAAAAGAGGCTGGCATGTGTAGCGTCTGCTGGGAGCACCCCCGGACCCCTGAAAACCAAACACGATGATAGGCGAGAAACCACCACAAACTCAATAGTCAATAGTCGCGTGACTTGTTCATCCGCGAGTCCCGAGCCTTCCAAAATCCGAATCCCGAAGTTCCAGGAAAGGGGGAACTTCCTGGGACATCTGTGCCAGGACTTAGATCAAGGACACGTCTTGGTGTTTCTGACCGCAAGGTCCAACTGTCAGCCTTAAGTGCTAAACACAGATTCCGAGGGCAGTGCTTGTGCTTTTGGCTGGGCGAACCACAAAATCCGAAGCCTTGATTTTTCAGAAGCATTCAGTGGTTTATGCCGGTCTAAAGTTTCAATATTCAGGGCTTCGGGGTTCAGGGAGTTTCGATCTAGGGTTTCCGTGTAGATTCTGCCTTGCGCACTGGGAGGCCCCCATCTATCCATCCGAAGTGCGCGTGGCGCGTCAAGAGCATCTTCAGTCCTTCCACGAGGCATTGAGAAGCGGGTTCACCCCAAATCTCTCAGTTCAGGGTTGGAGTTCTGGGGTCGTTTGAAGGGTTTCAGGTCGGGGTATGGGCTTTCCGGTGAAGGATTTTTGATTGGGACTGCTGGCCGAGAACTCAGGGTAGCGAGCTTGGGACATGGAGCTTGTTTTTCTCGCCATGCAATCGGTGAAAGGCAAAAAAGCCCTCAAGATGCTCCGTAGGTTTCTGGGTCTACGCCTACTACGCCCGCTCTCCGCGCCAGGCCACTGCGGCCACAGCTCTCTCTCGCGCCTGGTCGCCTGCCCGTTTTTTCAGAGTTTGGGGGATGTGTCTCAAAGGAAGTTCTCACCTGGCAGCATTCAGCCTCGCAGAGCATCCTTATCATCGTCATTATCACCCTCGCCCTCGTCCGGCACGCACTCATCGCCACCACACTGAGCGTCATCACCACCATCGCCTTCAACATCAATTCTCATCAATTCTGCCAGCACGCCACTACCCACTCCAAAATCCCTCCATGGGTTTTAAGGATCTGCGGTCGTGAACTTGAAGTTCACGTTCCGACTGTCCTGAAAATTTCGGGGTTCAGGGTGTGATGGTTTCCTTGACCACGCTGAAGCTTCACTGGAAAACGAAGTCCCCAGCACCTCAGGCGAGATGGAGACTTCATCAAGCACCACCCTGGTTGCACCTGAGCATCAAGCAGAGGATTGAGGGTATCAGTCAACTAGTTCTGCTTGGGTTCTTTGGGCCTCGGCTTCTGCATCTTCTAGATCTTGGTGGACTTTCTTTATGATGGGCGATCGGGACGACGATCTTCGTGATTGCGATGGTGACAAAGTGCCAGATGTTGGTGTCCTTGCTGCTATCGACTTCAATAGGGATGCTATCCGTTTGCTTCTTCACACATGTGACATTCTGACATTCTCTTGGACTCTAGGCCCTCCTCTCCACCGCTGTCAGCCGCCAGGGAAACTAGATTGCGCTGGAAGCGATGGAGTGCACCACATGCGTTTTCAACAGACAAAGCCGCTGTCTTGAGGCCACTTCTACCGACTTCCCTGCCAATGGCTTTATCAGGAGGCACAGGCCCGGAGTTGGGAAAATATCACTGGTGCCTGTCGTCACTTGTCATTATAGTCTCTGTCCTCGCTGGTGCTAACTACGTCTGTTGTGGTTGTGGTTGTGGTGGTTG